CATCTGAGTCCTTCTCAGTTCCCTCCATTTTTTCTCCTCTCCATAGAAGCTGGGAATGTGTCATGCTCTTCTTGCTTTCTCCAGGAGAACCTGGCCCAATGCCAGGTTTAAAGTTCATGCTCAATATACAGACATTGAGTAAAATAACAACAGGATAAATGGGATTTCCTGGAGGGGAGGTGAGAGCCAAATGGTTATAACTAATAGTTGTGATACTAATTATAAATTGCAATTCCTTCTTTTCTCATTTCTCAGACATGCTTCAAGTACCCCATCACCCAGCTCCTTGGCGCACCCGCCATTTATCGAATGATTTTGCAGCAGAAATTCACCAGGTAAGGAAGAGTGGCTGGGGAGCAATGGCGATCTGACTGTTTTCTCCTTGGGTTCTTAGATGTATGTTATGAAAATAGCACAGTTATAATGGAGCTGCTGAACACAAGGTCAGCAGTTTGAACCCACCAGTTTCTGGATTGGAGAAAGATGAGGCTATTTCTCTAAAAATTTAAAGTCTGTAAAACCCAAATGGGGAATTCTATTCTGTCCTAGTGGGCTCACTATGAGTCAGAATCGGCACAATGGCAGTCCATTTTTATGGCTTACCATTAAATAACATTTTGGTCTTATCCACTTGGAGAGACTGATGAATACTGTTACATTGAACTCTTGTTGAATAATGCTTCATTAAAAATCTGGTGTGCATATAGTGTGATCATATTGTGATTTTTTAAAAATTTCCCTATGTGTTCATTTTTAGCCAAACTGAAATATCCCTTTGAACCCTCAGGGATATTTATGTATCTTTCAGATACTCTGAAGTAGAAGTGACTAAAGTAGAACTTCAAACATCAGAGTTACCACTATTTTAGATGTAAGAATTTTTAAATCAAGTATAATTAATACCTTCATGAAAATAAAACAAACAAACAAAAATGAGCACCTAAACTCACTGCCCTTTAGTAGATTTTGGCCTCATGGTGACCCGATATAGAATGGAGTGGAACTGCTCTGTTGGGTTTCCAAGCCTGGAAGCAGACAGTATATCTTTCTCCAGAGGAGTGGCTTTTGGGTCTGAACTGCCCACCTTGTAGTTAGCATCCCAGTGCTTAGCCTCCAGCACCAGGAGGGCTCCTACCTTTATGAGCTGAACTCTGAAATGTAGCTTACCTGGATTCGGGGAACCTCAGTCTGGCTGGATTCTCGTTCCAACGTTTATATTAAGCTGCTTTTGTGCCTTTCTTCGAATCCAGTAAAATTTGATCAGAGTGTGTGCATAACAAATGACTCTACCTAAGATCCAATCAAGCAACCCACTACCAACTAGTTCATGCTGACTCATAAGAACCATATAGGACAGAGTGGAAGTGCGCAGAGGGTGTCCAATGCTGTAACTTTCATGGAAGCAGATCACCCTATCTTTTTGATGGAGGATCAGCTAATAGGCATGAACCAACAAACTTCTGGTTAGTAGCCCAGGGCTTTAACCACAATACTATCAGAGCTACTTCTACCTAAGGTACTGCCAACTTTATCCACTTTTTGCAAAGCTCTAGAAAAATAAGGAAGACATCCTGTGTGAATATCACCCCAATTCCACTTCTCACAGCAACTGAATGGAATCCATTCAGCTCCAGCTCGACTCTGTTGCTATTTATTCCAGTCTGTTCATATACCTGCTGCACGGGCCTTAATAGCCTTCTAGACACCCATCGCTGCCCAAGACCTAAAAAGCTAGCCATAAACTCAGAATCCCCACAATGCCATCACTTTTTACATGTGGGTTATAAATTCAGGAGCTCCCTGTATCCCTTAAAGATAACAGCTATAAAGCTCAGGGATCCCTAATCACCCTCCCTACTTCTGACATGCTGGCTTCTACTGCATCTTGGGTTTCATAATTCCCTAGGGGAAACTCATGGAATTCCAGGAACGTGCTTTACTTATGTTTACAGCTTTATCATAACAAAAAGAACTCAAATGAAGAGATGTGTAAGCTGAGGTCTGGGAGGACTCCCAACACAGAGTTTTCATACCCTCAATAGGAAAGCTGAAGCTTTCTACTCGCATGAAGAGTTAGCTTTGGAAGTTCCCATGGCAGTTCCACCCCACTTTATATGGTAGCTATGAGTGGAACCGACTCAA